GAAATAAAGTAAATGACAATAGTAAAAGTGACCAGGAAGTTGTTGGTTGCATTAAAAAAAATTCTGTAATGTAAGAAATTAAACTTGTTTTTACCTCGTCTCGCCTCTATTTGACTATTGTGGTCGATCCATGGCTGCCGTCCCAACTATTCTTGCAAATTATACCGAATCGCTCATCTGTACTCAGGATGGACAACAAATGCTGGCCTTTCCATCGATGCCCTCATTCTGAGAAGTAATAAAATAAAATACAGCTGTATTTCTTCTTTAGCTGCAAGCATTGCTTGGAGTTTTTGCATCAAATGGAAAGGAATGGAAAAGAAATTTCACTTTTGTATTTTCTAAAAAAAAAGTACTATGGACCTTGGCTGATGTGGAAGTTAATAAATGTGAGTTAATGATTACCCAGACTGCAAATATTTAATAAAGTTATTTTGTACACGCAGTGTAGCTAGCATGAATTCAAATATTTTGAAGGGAGAAATTTGAAATATCTTTGATATATAATTTCAGTTCAGTAAATTGTTGCATCACTGGCCAAACTGAAAAGTCATTGGATTTTTCTAAGTGAAGGCAGCTATTTTTCCTTTCAATTTAATAAATTTGAAAACAAATAAGGGTGGAGAATAAAATAAAAACATTTATTTTATTATGACTTTATTTTGACTAGTTAGGCAGCTATTCAGAGGGAGGGAAAGGGAGCAAAACCAAAACAGAAATTGAGTAGCCAGTAGGGGAGGGTCATGACTGCCACTTGTCAGTGAATGAAATAATGGAAGCTGTTTCAGAAATATCGTAAAGAACCATGTCATGAAGTTATGTCATCACTGTGGGCTTATAGATGGGTTTATTTCCTCGCTGATATTGTCACAAGCTGTATTTGCAATGAGGTCTGAATGTTATTAAAAACTATTCATTTGGAATGGTTGACTTTTTGTGCCTTAGAGGTGTGCAAAGTTGTGCCACTTTTTGTGAACCCTCAACTTGAGGAAGCAAGGGGGCACTTCATGCAAGGGACTTTGGAAGGAATGGGAAAATCTTTCATGACCTGCTGAACAATATTCTTTTTCTTTTGGTTTATTTTGTGTTCCTATTTCAGTGTGTTATTAACTTCAATGTAATTAAATTCACGGTAATGCTTTAAATATGTTATTAAGTAAAAAATAAGTTTTTCCCTCATGCCATTACTTACATTATTGCATTGAAAATGAAGAAACACAAATAAAAATAAAATACTGCTGATGCTGGAAATCTGAAATAAGAACATTGCTGGCAAAACTCACCAAATGGGTGATATTTAAACTCAAAATTCATGCACTTACAGATAGTTAAAATCAATCAATTGAGCAACCATATATTAAGTTTTGAATAAAAGCCAAAACTACTCTGGTCTAGCAACATCTGTGGAGAGAGAGTCGGAGTTAATGTTTCAAATCCAATATGACTATCCCTTCGAACAGTTCTAATGTGTCACGTCGGACCCCAAACACTAACAGTTGTTTTCTCCCCAAAGATTTATAAAATCATGAGGGGCATTTATAAGGTGACTAGCAAAGGTAATATCTCTAGGGTAGGGGCTTTCAAAACTAGAGGGCATATTTTTAAGATGAGAGGAGTAAGATTTGAAAGGGACCCAAGGGGGATCTTTTTCCACACAGAGGGTAGTTCGTATGTGGATTGAACTGCCAGAGGAAGTGATAGATGCAGGTATAGTTACAGCATTTAAAAGACATTTGGACAAGTACAAGAGTAGGAAAGGATTAGATGGGATGTGTGTCAAACACAGGCAGATAAGACTAGTTTGGAAAACTTGGTCGGCACGGACAAGTTGGACTGAAGAGTCTGTGTTTGTGCTGTATGACTCTATATTGCTAGACGTACCAAGATTTTCTCTGCTACGTTGTGTTTTCATTTGTATTAATTTTTTAAAAATTTAACGTGTTAAAACATCATCCATAGTGTTGTTTTAAGGAGTTGCAGCTTATCTTTTATAAATACAGCTGCTTTTTATCAGGAAATGATTGAGGCTTGTGAGTTTTTTCATCCTTTGCTGAGAATTATTGACTTTAATCACCAGAGTTTAAGCACTTATTGCTTTCATATACAGAATTTATTACATGTGTTATTGCATTGTGGTCATTTTTAAAAACTACTTTGTTATATCTAGTCCAGTCTCCCTCTTCACCCGCAAAAAGGAAAGACAGGCCACTGATATTGAAAATCAAATAAATAAATTAATGCTTATTTTCAGAACTGAACTTCCAATTCCTGCTATTAATGTAAATTGTTGTTTGTCAATATGGCTATAATTTATCTAATCAGGTGTAACTTCCCACCCAGATACACAGGGAAGCATCTTATCAAACTGATGAAAGAATATGGTAGTGACTGTTGGTGGACTCTACCTTTGGACCAGCTCCTGACTAAGGAAATTTTAAAAAAGGTTAGTACTCTTTGAAGAGGTCATAGTCCCATACACATTTCAAGAAGAACTGTAAAGTTTCAAACTACTGTGCAGACTATTAAGAGGAAATCCTGGGCATCATCTTTGTTAAATTACACAAAAAGTTACTTATTAGGAAGCTTGTTTGAATATAAAAGGAAAGGAGCACAAGACGTAGTTACCTAACATGGTTATCTTACAGGCATCTAAAAAGGAGCAAATGAGACTGCACTAGGTATGTCCAAATTGTCATAAAAATGGCTCAAAAGTAAATGTATGGAAATTTAAAAATTGTCAACGCTCCAGAAAAGGCTCCTGCAAACAGAAAAAGCACCATTGAAAAGGACTAAACTGTTTCAGCGCACCATCCTTCTTGAGACGTTTGGTTAATATTCAATTGAAATATGATTTCATATAGTAATTTGACACAGCAGTTCATAGCACATATTAAATTTGACCCAAGAGATATTTTGTTTGAAGGTGGCAGAGTTGAATTGTTGTCTTTCCTCTCACGCTCTGCCTAGCACCAATTCGACTTTGTAACTATACACTATTTTGAAACTTTACATTTTAGACTGATATATCTGAATGTTGATGAACTGTAAATTTTGAAAGACTTTTGCTAAATTGTCTGTTTTTAAAGCTCTGGTCAATTTAGGGGTTACATATTTTCCCTTTCTCGCTATTGTAATGTGTGGTGCATATTAAGGCCAGCATAGTAGATCATTTGCAATTTGCGCATCACAATACTGTACAGATATTGTTGTATCACTTCATGAGGTAATTAAGATTGGAAATCTTGTTGAGCTTCACAAGATTCATGGTAACGTTACTTATGGCAGTGACGTACAGTACCTGACTCAATTGATGCCGTTTTGGTACAGTCTGTCCCTCTACAACCTGTGGCCTTTCCTGGAGTTGCATCGCTGCCAGAGATCTGTATCAGGGACCCCTCCACCCACCAAGCCCAAGATTGCCTGTCAGAGCTGCTGTCCACTTGACTGCTTTCCCTGGAGAAACCGCCACTACCTGCAAGGACCACCCGGACATGATGGAGGTTGCCCTCCATCGGAGCTTGGCAGTCACCCTCCTTCCTTGACCCGCAGGACAGCTTTGGCAGCTTCCCCCAACTGATTCACAGGACTGAGCTTGGCTTTAACTGAGCTTGAGCTTGCTGAAACAGAGGAGTTCTTGTAGCCACGAGAATCAGTCTCACCGAACAGAGCCACACATAGACCCCAGAGGTGACAGCAGCCAACAAGCTGGGGCACGAGGACCCCTCCAGATAAGCAGCACCATGCAGTGACCGTAACTCAAACAGTACTAGCAGGTGGCCTGATGAGTGAAGGCCCTCTGTAGATCTCAGGCAGCAGCCTCCAACACCGCAGTCAGATGGTCCATTGTAGACGATACTGTAAATAAAATGTAACATTTTTCTTTCATCCAGCTACTTTTGCATTTATTTTAACAGTTATTTAATTTAATAATGTCAGATTTCAGTTATCTAAGGTAGTATATTTCAACTTAGAGATGGTACAGGTACAATATTCTAATTTTTCCCTCTAGACCTATAGAAACTAGCTTCAGTTTTAACATTGATTGCAATGGGAATAAATGCTTTTATCAAAGTCAACATTTTGAGCTGCATCCCCGCCCTTAATAAGGATAATTTGTATATAAATACCAGAATTTGGAATAACATACTGAAGAAAACACAATAAAAGCAGATTTGTCCTTTTTTCTAATTACTCAACCTTTAATTGCTAATGTTTTATGCTGTTATTTTATTGAGAAAACCATTTCAGTGCTGCCCAATTAGCCATTTGCAAAGTTTGTAGAGATGACTGATGAAATGTTACCATCTTAGTTTAGTTTCTTTTGTACTTTTCATTCTCTACTGTGATCGGTATCAGTACCCAGCTTTAAGCCATGTCCACTCTGCTGTGGGTTTGATCAGGCATAGGTCCTTAGACTGGTTGCTGTGAATCATTTGATGGGTTCTTAGCAAACATTAAATTGATTGGGTGAGGCTGTTCGCAGGTAAAGGGGCGTCTGGCAAGTGAGAGGCTTTCAAAAGCGAGTTAACGAGAGTTCAGGGACAGCATGTTCCTGTTAGCATGAAGGGCAAGACGGCAGGAGCAGGCAACACTGGATGACAAAAGATATTGAGGCTCTGGTCAAGAAAAAGAAGAAGGCATATTGTCAGGTATAGACAGCTGGAATCAAGTGAATCTGTTGAGGAGTATAGGGGTGTAGAAGTACACTTCAGAGTATAATCAGGAAGGCAAAAAGGGGACATGAGATAGCTTTGGTAGATAAGGTAAAGGAGCATCCAAAGAGATTCTACAAATATATGAATGGCAAAAGAGTAAGTAGGGAGAGAATAGGGCCCCCTTAAAGATCAATGAGGTCATCTACGTGTGGAAGCACAGGAGATGGGTGGGATCCTAAAGAAATATTTTACGTCAGTATTTCCTATGGAGAAAGACATGGAAGCTAGGGAACTTGAGAAAATAAATAGTGATGTCTTGAAAAGAGTCTGCATTACAGAAGAGGAGGTACTGGAGGTCTCAAAACGCAAAAAAGGTAGATAAATCCCCAGGACCTGATCAAGTGTATCCAAGGTCATATTGGGAATTTAGGGCAAAAATTGCAGGGCCCCAAGCAGAGATATTTGTTTCATCGACAGCTACAGGTGAAGTGCCGTAAGACTGGAGGGTGACTAATGTGGTGCCATTATTTAAGAAGGGCTGCAACGAAAAACCAGGGAACTATAGACTGCTGAGCCTGACATCAGGGGTCAGTAAGTTGCTGGATGGGATTCTGAGAGATAGGATCTATATGCACTTGGAAAGGCAAGGGCTGATTAGGGATAGTCAACATGGTTTTGTGTGTGAGAAATCGTGTCTGTCAAACATGACTGAGTTTTTTGAACAGGTGACCGAGAAGATGGATGAAGGAAGAGTGGTAGACTCTGTCTTACGTGGACAAGACCTTCGACAAGGTTCCGCATAGTAGTCTGGTTAGTAAGGTTAGATTGTATAGGATCTGGGCAGAGCTGGCCAGTTGGATACAAAATTGGCTTGACGGTAGGAGACAGAAGGTGATGGTAAATGGTTGTTGTTCATACTGCAGGCTTGGTGTGCCACAAGAATCGGTGCTGGGTCCACTGTTGTTTGTCATGTACATAAACAATTGGCTGAGAACATAAGAGGCATGGTTAATAAGTTTGCTGATGACACCAAAATTAGTGCTACAGCGGGCAGTGAAGAAGGTTATCTAAGAGTACAACGGACTCTTGATCAACTGGGCCAGTGGGGTGACGGATGGCAGACGGAGTTTAATTTAGATAAATGTGACTGTTACATTTTGGTACGACAAACCAGGGCAGGATTTACACTTAATAGTAGGGACCTGAGGAGTGTTGTCAAACAGAGAGACCCAGGGGTGCAGGTGCACAGTTCTTTGAATGTGGCATCAAAGGTAGACAGGGTGGTGAAGACGACGTTTGGCATGCTTACCTTCATTGATCAGAGCATTGATTACAGGACTTCAGACATCATGTTATGGCTGTATAAGACATTGGTCAGGCCACATTTGGAGTACTACCTACGATTCTGATCGCCCTGCTGTAGGAAGGATGTTATTAAACTGGAAAGGGTTCAAAAAAGATTTGCAAGGATATTACCGAGACTGGAGCGTTTGAGTTATGAGGAGAGGCTGGATAGGCTGGGACTTTTTTTCCCTGGAGTGTAGGAGGCTGAGGGTTAACCTTATAGAGGTTTATATAATCATGATGGGCATAGATAAAGTGAATAGCCCAGATCTTTTCCCCAGGGTTGGGGAGTCCAAAACTAGAGGGCTTAGATTTAAAATAAGAGGGGAGAAACTTAAAAGGGACCTGAAGGGCAACTTTTTCACACAGATGGTGGTATGTATATGGAATGAGCTGCTAGTGGAAGTGGAGGAGATGAGTGCAATTACAACATTTAAAAGACATTTGGGTAGGTACATGGATAGGAGAGGTTTAAAGGGATATGATCCAAACACAGGCAGATGGGACTAGTTCAGTTGTGTGAAGTAATTTCTCACTGACTGTAAATGATTAGCTACAGCTGAAGCCGGCATCTTCCGTATAATCCCAGCTGCAAGTGCAACTTAATGGTTTGATCTGTCTATTCCATTAATATTGTTTAATAAACATGAAGGTTACAAACAGCTGGAACCCTTCACAACATGTCATGTTCCCTCATTCAATCTTGACCAACTTACATTCTAGTGTGGGTGCAATGAAAAGGAAAATAATTCCTCAAACAGGATTAGAATATTGCGCTAAGGATTGCTAGCCTCTCGAACTTCATCTTGTAGTAACAGCTGAAATCGTATTCATTCATACAGCTGATTGTAGAGAGTGAACATATATTTACAAATGTGATAATGTATTTCCAGTGAAGTGTCACCCATGTGCTTCGAAAGATTGTCATTGTTTTTGACCTCCCCCTTCATCTAGGTGCCTGCAGCTTGGATGGAAGGAATGTACCCTATTGTGGAACCTACTGGCCTTGGAGTTATGGACCTAGTGTGTTTGTGGCTAGAGGGCCCAGACGTGCTGAGTGTGTTCTGCCCAGGTGCAGCATCACCCTTCTTAGCTTGAACTCCCACAGGGTTGAGGGTGGCAGACAAGCTCATGGTGGAGCTCTTGGGCATCTCTGGAGTGCCCGGAGAGGAGACTGCTGAGTATCCTATTTGAGGTCTTTCCTCCAGCTTCACATCATCTACTTCGTTACCTTAGTCGTTAGCTACGTCTTCTCACATGTTGTCCCATTCTCGCAATCCTGCAGTCAACTGTTGTTGCTGGTGTGTCATCTCAAAGTTCATCATTTCCATGAGATCTTCATCTTAGCAGTACATCTTTTTTTATAATCTGAAAGCTTGCTGGCATTGCTAGTGGTTCACTTTGTTTGATACACTGCTCCAACCTACCACACTCCAACACTTGC